CTCAGTAATCCAGCAATTCTAAAGCCCATATTTTTGTGAGATGAATCTCTTCCATAGTGCCATATATTCACAACAAAATCTCCATAACCATTTCATCAGTAAACTTTCATTCTGTGTACTTAACTTCTTTATGCCCAGCACACCATGTTGTTTGCTGAGGGTTACCAAAAGAGATATTTGATGGAAAAATAACAGCATTCCTCTCCTCTGAGTAGAGGAAAAAAAGATTGCCCAACAGGAATCTGGTGCGATGACGGAATCCGGCATGATTGTTGAACCCTCCGTCAACTTGCAAGTTCTTTCTGAATAGTACTGTACTACTCCCACCCCCTTTGCCCTCAATCAGAGGATTTAAGTTATTTTTTTACTGGTATTTACTTTTTCCTGATTCTTGAATTGACGTTCCTGCTTCTTGAATTCTTGAATTGATGTTCTGCACTTAATGATAATGTTCAATTGGTCATTCCCTTTTGCGGTTCAAGTCAATGTTCAATTTGTCATTCCCTTTTGCGGAAATAGTTCGGTAAGCAAGTAGGGGATTTATATCTGAAATCCCATCTTAGAGATGTTCTTTCATTCGTCTTCTTCCTGCTGTTTTCCCTTATTAGTTCACATTGTTTTAGCCAGACTAAATTGTAAGTATAAAAATTGATCTTGGTACTTTTTACACATCAAATATGGACAGAACTTATGTTTCAGAGTCCACATATTTGACTAGGCCGCTACTGAGAGTTCAGCTAAGTCATCTGAACTTCCCTATGGAGCCAAAAGATGTAAAATTGCATCTGGAAGGATTAAACTTTGGCATTGCTATGAAACAAGATGCAGAACAAACAAATCACATGACAGACAGCTATTAAATGCTAAAATTTTAACCTATCGGGCAATAGCAGTTTAACTAAGTCACTCGGTGGCAAATTAGTTTGGCAAAGCATGAAAACCTCATGTCCGTTCTGCAGTGGAAACTGGGGGTATGACTAATCCAAATAATACACAAGAGGGAATTGAAAACAATATACTTCATTTCAATGAAAGTAAGCATACAGAAACTCTAGATGCATTTGGACCAGTATCTTCAAATAAAATCAATTGCAAGGCAGGCTAGTTTGTTTATCCAACAAAATATTGTAAGCTTGAAATTTATCTGCATTGTATTGAGAGCTAATTTGATAAATTGCAGATACACAAGGAAATCATTCACCGTTCAGCTATGGGAGAATCTGTAAAGCGTGGATGGTATGATTATCGTAAAAGAGGACAACCGAGTTGGAGGTTCAAAATTGGCTGTGGAGGAGGAAGAAAAAAATGAACATAAAAAATGACATCTTTGTTTATCTGAACATGATCTCGTAGTCATATAAATGTCATGAAAAGTTTAAGACTGCAAGTTCTGAAAGGTTTTAAAAAGGTTTGGTTGTTTGGTTCGCTGACAAAACGAGCCTAAGGGCAATTTTGGGGACTGAAGTCTAGTTTATTTACATTCGAATGTCAAACCATTATCTGGTCTGCTTCTGTAACAAAGGCTATGTTTGGTTGGAAAACTTGGAATGAACATGACTTCACTTGCAAAACACTGAATTGTTTATGTTTTTCTCTGTTCATCCTATATATGTGAATTAAATCTAGTTTTAAAGATTTGGTGTTAAAGACAAGGCAAACTGCTATTGCGATGTGGAAGAAGCCTTACCGAAGATAGCTAAAAGAGCAGTCTTTGTCAAGAGGTTTCATCCTACAGTCACTAGTGAACTGGTAATATTCTGCTTCCGTTCATCATTTACAAGCTTATAAGTGAATCCCAGCTCATTTTCGTGCTGTTTTTTCCTTTTCTATCGACTCTCTTAATTTGTAGAGAATCCCAGCTGATTTCTTTGGCATATATCAGAAGAATTACCTGATAAAGCCACTCTAAAGTGTCTTTCTGGAGGCACTTGGAATGTGAAACTACAATGTGATGGAAGAGGGCTTTCTTATACACAATGGTTGGAAGAAATTTCAGAAAAATAACCAACTACAAAATGGGGAATATCTCGTGTTTAGGTACGATGGCGCTCTGCAATTCACAATAAGAATTTTCAGCAAGAATGGACTTGGAAAGACAAGTGAAGTTATCAACAAACATGGTCAAAAATCAACAAGCTCCAATATATGGAGGCAGCAAGCGTAAAAGGCCAGAAAAATACCCTTACACTTCAAAATTCCCTAAACAGACTCATGCTAACGGTGAAAATGACACAGGTATGATGATTTAACTCCTACCTTTCCAATTCTTCTTGCTGTTGTTGAAAGTTAGCATAAAATGCAGTAATAGTGATCAAATTTAGACTTTCATCAACCGAAATTTCCTTTGCAGAAGACCTATTTTAACATGTGATCGACTAATGGACTACTATGTTGTGTTCCCTTAGAAAATGCAACTCCAATGGAAAGAGCTGCACTTGAGAAAGAAGATGACCTTCTCACAGATCTTACTCCAAATATTCCTCAATTTGTGAAATGCTTGAAAGGCTATAATGTGAAAAAGTCCTGCTTCCTGGTAAGTGTTTTCTTGAAGTAAAACAAGTTCATGCTTATTAGTTTCTGTCACCAGTAAGCTACGAAATGTGTAAAATGTATGTAAACCAAATACTTAATACTTCTAATGCAGTATGTTATTTCCGTGTGTATCCACATTTGTCAACAAATCTATGTTCATATTGATGATTTCTAGACTGGTAAACTATTTTTTTATGTGAACGAGGCTTGCAAGGTGATTTCTGGTGTGAAGAAAACTGGTAAAATGATTTTTGGTGTGAACTTTGACTTCATCATTCTATCGGCTATTGATAAACGTGACAGAAAACGATAAAATTGTTGGTGGCAAGAGTTTTGCTGAAAGAGTGAACTTTTGCATGGAGCCAAAAAAGAGTTTACTAAGTCATATGGACTTTTGCATGGAGCCTAAAGACTTTTATGCTTGCAACAAAAAAAGAAAGGAGAATGTGCAAATATACCCTAAAATTTTGTGATTTAGTGTTGATATACCCTCATTAAAAATATGGCAGACTCATTTATAACCATGCTATTACATAAATGGCACAAATATACATTTTTCGTCTTACATCAATTTTTTTTTTTTTTTATATATATATATATATACACGCTTATGAATAATGACACTCCTTCAACATTAAAGACACTTATAGGGTTTAGGTTGTTGGTGAATCTTCTATTCGTGAGGGGTGGTCTTTGAAATTATCCCAAAAGAATACAATGCAAAATAAATACAAAATACAATTTATTATATTTGGAGTGCAATTGATACAAAATACAATTTATTGTATTTGGAATATAATTGATACAAAATAAATACAGAATACAATGTAAAATACAATTCTCTCTCCACCCTCTCTCGACCTCGCTTGCCTCTCTCCTTCCTCTCTCGATCTCGCTCGCCTCTCTCCTTCCTCTCTCGATCTCGCTCGTCTCTCTCCTTTTAATATGTATTCATTTCCATACAAAATCAGTTTGTATTTGTATTTTTTCTCCAAAATTCGTGGAAAAATACGCTTTCTCCTCTCTCTCGTAGATCTTGCTCACCTCTCTCATCCTCCTCCCCTAACATTTTGTTATTATTTATAATTAAGCAAACTATAACTATAAAGTCCTATTTAAGGCTTAATATTTGCTATTTTTGAAAGTTTCCTAATGCTAATTATGTTTATAGCAATTCAATAAATATAAGAAGCAGACTTTAATACAAGTCCTAACCTCACCTAACATTTCACCAATAATCACTTAATATAATTTAGCGAACAAACTAAATAGCAGAACAGTAAGATCAAACTAAAACATTAATTTTGAAGCTCCCACTTTTAGTATAATATGATGAGTAAGATCAAATAAAACATTCTCAATTCTTTTTCTTAGAACAATAATACTAACTAAAACAACCTTCATTTTTTTTTCAACAAACAACAATATTTATAGTCTTCAAAATTTGTCAACAAACAACAATGCTTATAGTCATCAAAATCTGTCAACACATAATAATACTTAAGGCCATAAAAATTAAAATGCTATGAAATAGTAATAAACTATTTCTTTTATTTATTGCTGTGATGAGAATTTGATCCTTCATAGAGAACTTGAACTTGTAAGTAAAGGATTTTGCCGCATTTTTCTCTCACAAATTCACAAATACACCTGTCATCTTTTTCCACAAGATTCCACCTACATAAATTGCGCCATCCGCCTACTAGCCATATTGTTCCATTGCTCCAATTATTGACTTTTGTCTCAAACTCTCTGCCAACAGAGTCGCGAATGATCATGGTTGGAGGGAGTTTAAGTTCGTAGTCTCTCACCACATCAATTGGAACATACTATTATTATGAACAAAGACTTTGTTAAATTAGAATGTTACATAAAATTATTCTCTAGATCAATATATAATTATAGCTTTCAGTTACCAGTTGATTTCTCATTTTTGCTCGTATCTTTGCTACAAAGTAAGGATTTTTTGGCTGAGTTGCGCGTCGACTTCTGAATATATCTGCACCATATTTGTCATGCACATTCCTCACCTTGCAAGTAATAGCTTTTCGGCATCCATCTGAATCAAGAAAATTAAGATCAAGTTCACTAATAGAAATCTCATGAAAACTCAGAAATACTCCATCTGTTTCATTTTACGTGGTGATACTTTATTGAACATGAACTTTATGAAAAAAAGAAGAATTTTGGCATTATACCAAAAGTGTTAGAAAATGATAGTTGAATATATTCTTCTCTAGTATTCAATAAAACCTAACAAAATATTCCCCTAAGCTCGTTTCGTTAACGAAACAAAAAACCAAACCTATTTTAAATCTTTTAAAACTTATAGACTTAAACATTTCATGATATTTATAAGACCACAAAATCATGTCCAAATATACAAATACGTTATTTTTACAGCAATGTACTAACATTAAAAGAATTGAATTACATATCAAATCAAACAGATAATTAGATCTAAAGATTTAACTGTATTTACCTTTTGAACCTGACATCTTTTTCTTGAATGTGTCAGTCATTTCATTCTCTTCTTCATCTTTTTCCTCCTTAGTTTCATTCTCCTTTCTCTCCGCCACTTCCTCCTCTGTTTCATCCTCTTTCCCTTCATCCACCTCCTCCTCAGTTTCTTTCTCCTCCCCTTCCTGTTCATTATCTTTTTCCTCTTCCTTTTCCACCTCTTCTTCGTCATTATCTTCTTCTTCTATCATGTAGTTATCAGTACTATCATCATCAAATGAGCTATTGTTGTTATCTCTAGTCTTGTTTTTTTCTTTTGGTTCTATACTCTTTCGATGTTCAACATTCACTTCTTCCTCCTTGTTGTCACATTTAGCTCCATTCTTTATGCATTCATTTATTCCAAGTAATTTTATGTCAAATATTTCATTTCCATCATAATCGAATATTATAAAGTCTCCAAACTCTAGACTGTTGTCCTCAATAAATTTCTCCCATCCATTCAGAAAATACAAATCTTTTTCTATTTTGATCACTCTTATAGGCCACATATTATTAAACCGATTCCTAAGGAAAACCTTCCTAGGTAACTTTCCATTCTTGTAGTTTGTATATGCTGTGGGAATTTTCTGTGAAGAAAAAAAATATTTTTGAAAAAAAAGGTAAAAACATAATTTCTTTAAATCAGATTTATCATATCATAAAAAGCAACAAATATGAGAAGAAAAAGTAATTTAAATAAACTCAAAGTTTGAACTTTTTGATGTTAGAAATATTTAAGAATGTAACTATTTGAGCAACTACAAAATAGAATCTAAGACATTCTCATAGTTTTATTGCAAAGTACTACCATCAACACACATAATATGATCGTTTGTCATTTGAAAATGATATATGCAATTTTATGATATCAATTGATTGAATAATCCATTATACATAATACTTGTATAAAATTGGAAAATTCAACATATAAAATACTAATATAATAATTACTTGCATCACACAAAAGCATCTCTAGTCTTTTAAATTTTCCTCCCCTTATTCATAGCCCAATCTTCAAAAAGTGTTACTTTAAAAAAAATAAAACTGAAAAAATGGAGTTAGCAAAAAAATTAAATCATCTACTTGTATTTGCAGATCTAAATTTCACCAAGGCCTTTCACCTTTTCATATCCGTTGCCCACATTTTCAAAAGAAGAAGAAAAAGATTCAAGAAACGAAGTCCCAAAAATCTATTACCACAAGGAGAAAGTGTATTTACCATCCGTTTTGCACTAGTTTGAGGATTGAAAACCTTGAAAAAACCCTTTTCCATGTTCACTTTTGTTGTCAAACAATAAGAGAATAGAATAACTCGCCACACAACCTAAACCCTTGAAGCGGCTTTAATGTAGAAGAAGTGTCATTACTCATAAGCGTGTATACATATATATATAAACGGAAAAGAGTCAAAATTGCCCCTGAACTATGTGAAATAGACCACTTATACCCTTAGTTACATTTTGGGATAAAATGCCCCTGTTGTTATCCTAAGAGACCACAAATACCCTCATGAGTTAACACCCCAATTTTTTATTGGCTTGGCAAGCCATGTGGGACTAATCCTTCCACCTAGCATTGCCAACTAGGATTCACTACAAAAGAACTAGACCTTTAGCGGCAACAACAGTCGCCACAAAAGCCAGAAAACCGTCACTAAAAGTTTTTAACATTAAATTCTAATTTTGTGTTTTTTTCTTCATTATTTTTAAAAAATAAAAAATGATATCGATTAAGTAGGAGTTTGAAGACACTATATGTTTTATTTTTATGTCATATGTAAATGTATAAAATGTACAATGATGCATTATATAGTAGGAGATTTGAATCGAGAAGTAATTTTGATGATTTTTCGTAATAATATTGTATGTTTTTAATATTGATATTGCAAGTTATTTATTTTAGAAAATTAGGTTGCAATCAAAAATTAATTATCATATTTTTTTGTTGAAAAAATAGGTTTTACTAGCGAATGGTTGTTGGAGCCTTAGTCGCCACTAAAAATCACTCATAACCTTTAGTGGCAATATTTTGGAAATTTGTGGCGTCTTTGTCACCACTAAAGGTCAAGTTCTTTTGTAGTGAATCTTAGTTGGCAATGCTTAGGTGGAGGGATTAGTCCCATGTGGCTTGCCACGTCACTAAAAATTTGGGGTGTTAACTCTTGAGGGTATTTGTGGTCTCCTGGGATAACGGCGGGGGTATTTTTGATCCCAAAATGTAATGGAGGGTATAAGTGGTCTATTTCGCGTAGTTCAGGGGCAATTTTGACCCTTTTCCGATATATAAATTGATGTTAGACCAAAAAGGTATATTTATGCCATTTATGTAATAGCATGATTATAAATGAGTCGGCCACATTTTTCACGAGGATATATCAACACTAAATCACAAAATTTTACGGTATATTTGCACATTCTCCTTTCTTTTATTGTTGCAAGCATAAAAATGTCTTTAAGCTCCATGCAAAAGTTCATGACTTAGTAAACTCTTTTATGGCTCTATGCAAAAGTTCACACTTTCAGCACAACTTTTGCCGCCAACAATTTTATCGTTTTCTGTCATGTTTATCAATAATCGATAGAATGGTGAAGCCAAAATTCATACCAAAAATCATTTTACCAGTCTTCTTCACATCAGACATCACCTTGCCAGCCTCGTTCACATAAAAAATTATTTTACCAGTCTTCTTCACATCAGAAATCATCAACATTAAGATAGATTTGTTGACATATGTATCTAGATACACATAGAAATAACAACATAGATTTCGTGTGAACCTACCATTGATCTAGCATAATAGATCGAGATGACCATTATGAGTTGTCCCGTAATAAAACCAGCTATAAGGGAAAATGGTAAAAAATATCCTTCAACTTTCATTATTTGTTGACTTTACCCTTACTGTTAAAGTAGAGTTGTTCTTACCCTTGTCGTTACTCTATTTATCATCCATACCCCTCAATTGGATGGAAAGCCCCAAATGAAATAAAATTACTCAATTTCAATTGAATGATAAGTATAGTAACAGCAGGGGTAACAATAGCTTTAACGATAAGGATAAATGAAAGTTGAGGGGTATTTTTGACCATTTTCCCGCTATAACCATATGAACAAATAAGGAACCACAACAAGATATGGGAAGCTTAAAAAAATCTTGAATTTCATGATGTAAATCTCCTACTCGCTCCCAAACTTTTACCTTCATTTGCAAAAGTGAATCAAGCAAAAATGGGATGACCAACTGAATATCATCAGTTCCCTTAAGCGCAGAACATCAATTCAAAAACCAGGTGATACAGTTAAATAACTATGACTCATAATAATAAGTTATGTACAAACATCACACAGTGCATGAATTTTCATATGTGGGATCATTGTTTCACTTATGTATGCAAATTGAAATGTTCTACTACTAATTATGAAGAATTATAGAGGTTTCTTATGTGCTGCACCCATTGGCTTCTGACTCTTAATTTGGGATCCGCTTCAGGGACGGAGCCACCATTCGAGATACGGATTTTGCAACCATTACACTTTTGGGTTCAGATGAAACCGTAGACTATATGGTACATCCACCACCGACTATAAGACAATTTAAATACATTTATTGGTATTTGCACCAGATAACTCTAGGTGAATCTGTTCTCTGGAAAAGTTTTCTAGACATTTTGTGCATCCTATTCAAATATAATCAACATTACTACATCTCTAATTGTAAGCTGTAGGCAAGTATTGTAAGCTTCATTTCAGCTGTAACATACAGAAGTTAAACAACTCTAATTACTCAGATACAGAAAAAGGAAAATGAAAACAAGGTTGTCCATTAAGCAGCTACAGAGTTCAAATTCCAAATAATATAAAATTGTAGCAGTTCAAAACTAAGAATTTATCATCTTTGTGCAGCAAGTTTCAACAGAGATTCTGAAGGATGATCGAAAACAGAAACCTTCAATTCATTTGCATTGACAAGCTGAAAAACATCCTTCCTTATCCTTATTATAACTCACAAACTGTTTCCATCCTCCACAGAGAGCGTGATATCCATTTTGTGTTATACAATTCACTTTCCACCTTTTTCCTTCTGAAATACGGAGGACAACTGTTGTCTTATTGTCTGATTTTGAAAGTTGTTCACAGAAGGATTTTCGAACATACTGCATTAGAAGTATTAAGTATTTGGTTTACATACATTTTACACATTTCATAGCTTACTGGTCACATAAACTAATAAGCATGAACTTGTTTTACTTCAAGAAAACACTTACCAGGAAACAATACTTTTTCACATTGTAGCCTTTCAAGCATTTCACAAATTGAGGAATATTTGGAGTAAGATCTGTGAGAAGGTCCTCTTCTTTCTCCAGTGCAGCTCTTTTTCTTGGAGTTGCATGTTCTAAGGAAACACAACATAGTAGTCCATCACATGTTAAGATAGGTCTTCTGCAAAGGAAATTTCGGTTGATGAAAGTCTAAATTTGATCACTATTACTGCATTTTATGCTAACTTTCAACAACAGCTAGATGAATTGGAAAGGTATGAGTTAAATCATCATACCTGTGTCATTTTCACCGTTAGCAAGAGTCTGTTTAGGGAATTTTGAAGTGTAAGGGTATTTTTCTGGCCTTTTACGCTTGCTGCCTTCATCATATATTGAAGCTTGTTGATTTTTGACCATGTTTGTTGACTTCACTTGTCTTTCCAGTCCGTTCTTGCTGAAAATTCTTATTGTGAATTGCAGACTGCCATCGTACCTAAACACGAGATATTCCCCATTTTGTAGTTGGTTATTTTTCTGAAATTTCTTCCAACCTTTGTGTATAAGCACAAACTATTTCTTCCATCACATTATAGTTTCACATTCCAAGTGCCTCCAGAAAGACACTTTATCGTGGCATTATCAGGTGATTCTTCTGATATATATGCCTAAGAAAATCGGCTGGGATTCGCTACAAATTAAGAGAGTCAAAAGAAGATGAAAATGAGCTGGGATTCACTCATAAGCTTGTAAATGATGAACAGCACCAGAATATTACCAGCTCACTAGTGACTGTAGGATGAAACCTCTCGACAAAGACTGCTCTTTTATGTATCTTCAGTAAGGCTTTTTCCATATCACATTAGCAGTTGCACTTGTCTTTAACACCAAATCTAAGCTAGATTTAATTCACATATATAGGATGAACAGAGAAAAACATAAACAGTTCAGTGTTTTGCAAGTGAAGTCATGGTCATTCAAAGTTTTCCAACCAAACTTAGCAATTGCCACAGAAGTTGACCAGTTAATGGCTTGACATTCAAATGTAATTAAACTAGACTTCAGTCCCAAAAATTGCCCTAAGGCTCGTTTTGTCAGCGAACCAAACAACCAAACTTTTTCAAAACCTTTCAGAACTTGCAGTCTTAAACATTTCATGACATTTATATGACTACAAGATCATGTTGAGATATGCAAAGATGTCATTTTTTATGTTCATTTTTTTCTTCCTCCTCCACAGCCAATTTTGAACCTCCAACTCGGTTGTCCTCTTTAGCGATGATCATACCACCCACGCTCTACAGATTCTCCCATAGCTGGACGGTGAATGATTTCCTTGTGTATCTGCAATTTATCAAATTAATTCTCAATACGATGCAGATAAATTTTCAAACTTACAATATTTTGTTGGATAAACAAACTAGCTGGTCTTGCAATTGGTTTTATTTGAAGATACTGGTCCAAATGCATCTATTAGACTGTATGCTTACTTTCATTGAAATGAAATATGTTGTTTTCAATTCCCTATTGGGTATTATTTGGATTAGTCATTCCAATTTCCACAGTAGAATGTACACGAGGTTTTCATACTTTGCCGAACTAATTTGCCACCAAGTGACTTAGTTAAACTGTTATTGCCCGAGAGGTTTAAATTCTTCACATTTAATAACTGTCTGTCATGTAATTTGTTTGTTTTGCATCTTGTTTCATAGCAATGCCAAAGCTTAATCCTTCCAGATGCAATTTTACATCTTTTGGCTCCATAGGGAAGTTCAGATGACTTGGCTGAACTCTCAGTAGCGGCTTAGTCAAATATGTGGATTCTGAAACACAAGTTCTGTCCATATTTGATGTGTAAAAAGTACCTAGATTAATTTTTATACTTAAAATTTAGTCTGGCTAAAACAATGTGTACAAATATGGAAAAACAGCAGGAAGAAGACAAATGAAAGAACATCTCTAAGATGGGATTTCAGATATAAATCTCCTCCTCGCTCCCCGAACTATTTCTGCAAAAGGGAATGACAAATTGAACATTAACTTTTACCGCTAAAGGGAATGACCAATTAAACATTATCATTAAGTGCAGAACATCAATTTAAGAATTCAAGAAGCAGGAACGTCAATTCAAGAACCAAGAAAAAGTAGTAACCAGTAAAAAAATAACTTGAATCCTCTGATCGAGGGCAAAGGGGGTGGAACTTGCGAGTAGTGAGTGCTATTCAGAAAGAACTTGCAAGTTGACGGAGTGTTCAACAATCACACTGGATTCCGTCATCACACTGGATTCCGGTTGGCCAATCTCTTTTCCTCTACTCAGAAAAGAGGAATGCTGTTGTCATTCCATCAAATGTCTCTTTTGGTAACCCTTAGCAAACAACATGTTGGGCTGGGCATAAAGAAAATAAGTACACAGAATGAAAGTTAACTGAAGAAATGGTTATGGAGATTTTTTTGTGAAGATATGGCACTATGGAGAAAATTCATCTCACAAAATATGGGCTTCAGAATAGCTGGATTACTGAGGAGGTGACTGATACCTAATACCTTTGGATGCTCTATGTGGAAAACAATTAGAAATTGTGGGTCTCTTTCAATAACAAACTGAAGTACAAAATTGGTAATGGGGAAAAGGCAAGTTTTTGGAATGTACTATGAATTGGGGAAGAGGACTTGAAGAGTAAATTTCCAGACTTATTCATCTTGAGCTTGCAACAGATGGATAAGGTGGCATAAGACTCCGCTCACTGGAAACCTATGTTGCTCAGACTCTTCAAAAATGTCAACCAACTTTTGGAGAATACAATACGGGGGCAGCTTCGAAAGTGAAGAGTCCTGCAACTTAGCTAGAAACTATAAACCTAGAGTCTATCAATCAGAAGCAAGAACAAACAGAATGGAAAAAAGCAAATCTACAAATGGGAATTCTTAAATCTGATGCTGGGCATAAACAGTCATCGAGAAAGACAAAAAGTATATTTAATCCATAATCTGATCAAAGAAATGGAAGTGTATTAATTCTTACCTCTTACCTTCATTTTAGCTTTGTTTATCTAAAAAAATATTTCGCTTCACTGCTATCTCTAATCTGTAACTGCTTCTTTTCACTTTTCTATTTCAAAATCCTTTTTGATTCTCTCTTTCAATTTATTGAAGAATCATTGAGCTGCAACAGATAGAAATCACCTATTAATAACAAGCAATATGTTTATTCTAAAGATAGTTTTCTTTATTTATTTTCAAAATAGAATTATTTGACTATTCAAGTTGATCCAGAGATAGAGGATAACTTTGTATCTTTCTTTCTATCGTTATCTTATATTTTTCTAGTGAAGCATGTCATACAATACGTAAAAAGAGTCATATAGTTTAGACTGGTTAGCAAAACTATATTACTAAATAGTAAATACTAATGAACCTAATGGAGAACTATTTATGTCATTCAGAAATTTTGGATCTATTATTTTAGTTAACAGTAGCATTGGACTTTTCATAAAGCAATATAAAGTCTCCATTTGTAAAAATAATCAAATTATAAACATGTCCATTATAACAAAGTAACAAAAGGAAGAAAAAAATGACAGAAACTAAAATAGGGCAGGGTGGGGCGAGTGGGAGGAAAAAAAAGCTATGTGGTGTGGGGTGGGGCAGGTTAAGACTCAACCAACCCCAGTGCCATCCCTACTGAAATATTTCAGATAAATTACATTAGATATCATTTGATCAGAAGGCTGACAAGAACCTAACTTGTAAATATCTCGCATGCTAAAACTGAAATCACTTTAACACTCTCTCGTTGCCCCATAACTGAAGGGAAAGTTATCCTCGGGTACTACTGTATAAGTAATCCAACTGGGAGTATTCCAGACATGAGATTAGACCAGACTGATTTTATCTCACCTACTATGAACCTTAATAAAGCATATTAATCGATTCCTCGATACAAGAAACACATCCAAATATGCAGAAAAAAGATGAGGTCATATATTCACTTGCAGCCCTCTGATAAGACACGATTCCTAGGTTCAAATCTATTGGTCTTCCTTCATGTTTTCAGCAGAATAAATTTCCAATGAAGATACCCCATTCACAAGAAGTAGAAAAAGGGGAAGAAGAAAGAGATAACTCTGGTGGCACTCCAACTGGATCATCTTGTTGACTGGGAACTACTACCAAACTTGTCTCCGGGGAATCCTCCAGAACTGCCCAGAACCATTTTTCAAGTCCACCGCTGAGCTTATCAGCTCTTCGTCATGTTTAACCACCCAAGGGGTAAATCCTTTTGAATTCAACTCATTGTCCGAATGCCGCCCATTGTCTTCTGAACTAGGTCCTACTTCCTCATCCCCATGGCTTCCATCTTTATCATCGTTATCATTGTCAGACAAGCTATTAACTGACTCAGAGTTGCTTTGTGTTAAAGCCAGTTTATGTATTTCCTCCACATTCCAAAACAAATTTCTGCCTGAAGTAGAGAAAGTAGGTTCATAAGAAGAAGATAAAGGAGAACCAAAAACTTTACGCATCAAGCCATCAGAAACGCCTTTAAATTGACGCGCCATATCATCCACGTTAACTGTCACAAAGAATGAGTTTAATCAGAACATATCAAATAAAGTAACTACCCTATTCCAGGTAACTCACTCATTAAGTTCATTCTTAAGCAACCAGAGGAAGACGTAAAAGTATAATAAGAGAAAAAAAAAACAATCATCATTCGTAGTTATTCATTTAGCTGAGTGCTGACTGATTGACTGTGACATTAAGGCTTCTTATGCATTGATGCACCACAAAGGATTCATTGCTGAACATTTTAACATTTAGTCACTTAAATCCCTGCCAAGAACAGACAATAATTTTTCCTAGTCAATAGCCTTGAACATAATCCATCCTCCACCTTATTTTATTTTTTTTCCTTGAAAGAAGTGGTGGTGCCAAGAAAGGACAAGAAGATGAAAATTATGAAAAAAAAAGGAACTTAGGCCGAAAACTGGTATAAGAACTGCCCTGTTGAGGTCTATCAAGATCGTAGGAGTTCAGATACCATGTGAAGGTTTGAGCAAACCTTAAGACAAAAATAAAGTTGTCAAAGACCTTATAAACCACTTTTATATAACTAAACAACCTTCCACATGTGTAACCACCTCTAGTGTTCCCTCATGTATTTGAATATGGACTTACCAGTGCGAGAAAAACCTACAAAGGTAGGCTCATATATCATGTGAGAGAATGACACAGAAAAAAACATATTGATAACTTGACAATTCAGTGAATACAAGACGCCTATTTATAGGTTTCAAATATAATACATATGGTACTTCTCCAACACGGAGCAATATGTAAATTAAGAATTTAACTCTATTATAACACAATTAAATAAACATACTACTTAAAGTTCATGACTGCAGATTATATGATGTGAAGAAAAGTAACATAGTGTGTCGCCTCAGATTGTGATTTAATAGTACAATACTGTTTCACACTTTAGCTTTATAATTTAGCGAAGCAGACTCCCCAACTCACTTCAAGAATTAAGCATTATCTGAAGTTGGAATCAGATACCCACACTGCATCCTATGTGAAGAAACTTGGTACAAGTTATTCTGGCCTTTAAATGGAGATTTATTATTGCAGTCATCAACAGCACTACCCTTACCACACATTCCATGTATACGAGTATATGGATGTAAAAATATCCAATGGAAACACCAGACTCATCACATAAATAAAGAAAACAAACATGTTGGCTGGAAAAATCACTGAAGAAGATTTTCCAAAGAAGTAGTTCTTCATAGAAATAAATCAGATATTAGTTAGGGTTAAAACAGCCTAGATATATGTGAAATGATGGTATAAGACCTAACGAACTTCAAGAAATATATAACTTGGAAGAGACACTAAGAAAATCCCACACTTCATGTTGCTCAGCCACATTGGCAATTGACAAGAGATCCTGTTAGAGAAAGAACATTTAAAGCAACCAGAAGGCACACATATTCCAAACAGATATAAAAGCAGTGCAGAAACATACTATTCAAGTTCAAATTCCAAGATAATAACAGCAAATTGTAGCAGTTCATAACTAAGAATTTTTCATCTTTGTGCAGGCAAGTTTCAACAGAGATTCTGAAGGATCATCGAAAACAGAAACCTTCAGTTCATTTGCATTGACAAGCTGAAAAACACACATGTCCTTCCTTAAGCTTGTTATCACTCACAAACTGTTACCATCCTCACAGAAAGTGTGATATCCTTTTTGTGTTTTACATTTCACTTTCCACCTTTTTCCTTCTGAATTACAGAGGACACCTACTGTCTTATTGTCTGATTTCGGAAGTTGTTCACAGAAGGATTTTGGAACATACTGCATTAGAAGTATTTGGTTTACATACATTTTACACATTTCATAGCTTATTGGTCGCAGAAACTAATAAGCATGTACTTGTTTAACTTCAAGAAAACACTTACCAGGAAACAGGACTTTTTCACATTATAGCCTTTCAAGCATTTCACAAATTGAGGAATATTTGGTGTGAGATCTGTGAGAAGGTCCTCTTCTTTATCAAGTCCAGTTCTTTTTCTTGGAGTTGCATGTTCTAAGGAAACACAACATAGTAGTCCATCACATGTTAAGATAGGTCTTCTGCAAAGGAAATTTCGGTTGATGAAAGTCTAAATTTGATCACTATTACTGCATTTTATGCTAACTTTCAACAACAGCTAGATGAATTGGAAAGGTATGAGTTAAATCATCATACCTGTGTCATTTTCACCGTTAGCAAGAGTCTGTTTAGGGAATTTTGAAGTGTAAGGGTATTTTTCTGGCCTTTTACGCTTGCTACCTCCATCAAATATTGAAGCTTGTTGATTTTTTACCATGTTTGGTGATTTCACTTGTCTTTCCAGTCCATTCTTGCTGAAAATTCTTATTGTGAATTGCAGAGCGCCATCGTACCTAAACACGAGATATTCCCCATTTTGTAGTTGGTTATTTTTCTGAAATTTCTCCAACCTTTGTGTATAAGCAAGCCCTCTTCCATCACATTGTAGTTTCACATTCCAAGTGCCTCCAGAAAGACACTTTAGAGTGGCTCTATCAGGTGATTCTTCTGATATATGCCTAAGAAAATCGGCTGGGATTCTGTACAAATTAAGAGAGACAAAGAAAAGTAAAAAAACAGCACGAAAATGAGCTGGGATTCACTTATAAGCTAGTAAACGATGAACAGAAGCAGAATATTACGAATTCACTAGTGACTGTAGGATGAACCTCTCGACAAAGACTGTCAGTAATGTTTTTTCTGTATCACAATAGCAGTTGCACTAGTCTTTAACACCAAATCTTGAAAGCTAGATTTAATTCACATATATAGGATGAACAGAGAAAAACATAAGCAATTCAGTGTTTTGCAAGTGAAGTCATGCACATTCAAAGTTTTCCAACCAAACATATCAATTGTAACAGAAATAGACCAGATACAAGTAGCACATCCAAATATGCAGAAAAAAGATGAGGTCATATACATTCACTTACAGTCCTCTGATAAGGCACGATTCCTAAGTTCAAATGTCTTGAGCACGTCTATTGGTCTTCCTTCATGTTTTCAGCAGAATAAATTTCCAATGAAGATACCCCATTCACAAGAAGTAGAAAAAGGGGAAGACGAAAGAGATACCTCTGGTGGCACTCCAACTGGATCCTCTTGTTGACTGGGAACTACTACCAAACTTGTCTACGGGGAATCCTCAAGAACTGAAAGATTTACGTTGGAGCCCAGAACCATTCTTCATATCCACCGCTGAGCTTATCCACTCTTTGTCACATTTAACCACCCAAGGGGTAAATCCTTTTGAATTCAACTCATTGTCCGAATGCCACCCATTGTCTTCTGAACTAGGTCCTACTTCCTCATCCCTGTGGCTTCCATCTTTATCACTGCTATCATTGTCAGAGAAGCTATTAACTGACTCAGAGTTGCTTTGTGTTAAGGCCAGTTCATGTATTTCCTCCACGTTCCAAAAAAAATTTCTGTCTGAAGTAGAGGTAGTAGAATCATAAGAAGAAGATGAAGGAGACCCGGAAACTTTACGCATCAAGCCATCAGAAATGCCTTTAAATTGACGCACGGTATCATCCACAGCATCATCCACATTAACTGTCACAAAGGATGAGTTCAATCAGATTATAACAAATTACGTAACTACCATATACCAGGTAACTCACTCATTATGATCATTTTTAAGCAATCAGAGAAAGACGTAGAAGTATATTAAGGAAAAAAAATAATCATCTTTCGTAGTTATTCACTTAGCTGACTGATTGAATGTGACATTAAGGATTCTTATGCATTGATACACCACAAAGGATTCATTACTGAACAATTTAACAATTACTCACTTAAATCCCTGCCAAGAACAGACAATAATTTTTCCGAGTCAATAGCCTTGAACATAATCCATCCTCCACCTTATTTTATTTTTTTGCATGAAAGAAGTGGTGCCAAGAAAGGACAAGAAGATGAAAATTATGAAAAGAAAAGGAACTTAGGCCAACAACCAGCATAGGACTGCCCTGTTGAGGTCTATCAAGATCATAGGAGTTCAGATACCATGTGAAAATTTGAGCAAACCTTAAGACAAAAATAAAGTTGTCAAAGACCTTATAAACCACTTTTATATATCTCAACAACCTTCCACATGTGTAACCACCTCTAGGGTTCACTCGTGTATTTGAATGTGGACTTATGGGTGCGAGAAAAACCTACAAAGGTAGGCTCATATATCATGTGAGAGAATGAGACAAGAAAAAATATATTACAATTCAGTGAATACAAGACGCCTATTCATAGGTTTCAAATATAATACATATGGTACTTCTCCAACACGGAGCAATATGTAAATTAAGAATTTAACTCTATTATAACACAATTAAATAAACATACTACTTAAAGTTCATGACTGTAGATTATATGATGTGAAAAAAAGTTACATAGCGTGTCGCCTCAGATTGTGATTTAATAGTACAATACTCTGTTCAAACTTTAACTTTATAGTTTAGCAAAGCAGACTCCCCAACTCACTTCAAGAATTAAGCACTATCTGAAGTTGGAATCAGATACCCACACTGCATCATATGTGAAGAAACTTGGTACAAGTTATTCTGGCCTTTAAATGGAGATTTATTATTGCAGTCATCAACAGCACTACCCTTACCACATTCCATGTATACGAGTATATGGATGTAAAAATATCCAATGGAAACACCAGACTCATCACATAAATAAAGAAAACAAACATGTTGGCTGGAAAAATCACTGAAGAAGATTTTCCAAAGGAGTAGTTCTTCATAGAAATAAATCAGATATTAGTTAGGGTTAAAACAGCCTAGATCTATATGAAATGATGGTATAAGACCTAACGAACTTCAAGAAATATATACCTTGGAAGAGGCACTAAGAAAATCCCACACTTCCTGTTGCTCAGCCACATTGGCAATTGACAAGAGATCCTGTTAGAGAAAGAACATTTAAAGCAACAAGAAGGAACAAATATTCGGAATAGATATAAAAGCAGTGCAGAAACATACTTGCAGATATTTGTAAAACTGAATGCAATGCTGATGAACGAATGCATATTCTGTACTAGACGAAAATATCCTCTTAGGAAGCAAATGCAATGTGTAATTAGGAATATCCTTCAGGTGACTATGCAATCTCTCGAAGTTCCTGTATCTGCTTAAACGGCACCCAATAGGATATCAGCTAAACAGAGCCAGCGGAATTTGAGAAAAGAACTTGTTCAGTGTTCAAAGGGCAATACAAAAAAAAATTGAGCCCAGCTTCTCAAAATATGCACCCAAAACCTGGGGCAGGAGGAAACAGTATTGAGAAACAAGAATCTTAGAAGGCATAAGTCACAGGTAACTGTGTGTAAAACAATCAAAATTTGAGACCTTAGCTCATGAAATTGTTTATACAACACCACACAAGTTTTTATTTCTTATGAGCCAGCTTGAGTTCTTGGGACATATTTTGGAGTATGAGGGAAAGATTAAGGAGAATTCACAAGCCCTGCACTTCAAGCTTTGGACGATGATGTCCCTCACCATATCCGAAGCACTCATAGTGCTAAGTACTGCATTCCTAAATTCTGCACTATAGAATTCTGATATAATGGATCCACCAACTTTGCTCATAAACATGTGCCATTTTCGACGTCCACACGAGTCCGCCTAGGGAATTTAGAACTGTAAGGCTATTTTGCTGGCCTTATTCGCTTCCTTCCCCCATCATATATTGAAGCTTGTTGATTTTTTACCATGGTTGTTGACTTCATACTTCTCTCAAGTCCATTCTTCCTGAAATTCATACTGTAAATAGCAGCGTCATCGTACCTAAACACGAGAAATTCCACATATTCTAGTTGGTAATTATTCTGAAATTTCTTCCAACCTTTGTGTATAAGCAAGCCCCCTTTCATCACATTGTAGTTTCACATTCCAAGTGCCTCTAGAAAGACACTTTAGAGTGGATTTATGAGATGATTCTTCTGTTATATGCCTAAGAAATTGACTAGGATTCTCTACAAATTAAGAGATTCAAAAGAAGAAGAGAAAACAGTAAGAAAATGAGCTGGGATTCACCAAAATGCTTGTAAATGATGAACAGAAGCAGAATATTACAAGTGCACTAGTGACTATAAGATGAAACATTTTGAAAAAGATTGCTCTTTTATCTATCTTCAGTAAGGCTTTTCCGTCATCACAATAGCAGTTGCACATGTCTTCAACACCAAATCTTTAGAGATAGAGTTAATTTACATAAATAGGATGAACAGAGAAAAACATAAATAATTCAGTGTTTTGCAAGTGAAGTCATGGCCATTCCAAGTTTTCCAAGCAAACATAGCAATTCTAAAAGAAGTAGACCAGATAATGGTTTAACATTCGAATGCAAATAAACTAGACTCCAGTCCTAAAAATTGCCCTTAGGCACGTTTTGTCAGCGAACCGAACAACCAAACATTTTAAAAACCCTTTTAGACTTGCAGTCTGAAACATTTCATGACATTTATACTAGATCATGTTGAGATATACAAAGATGTCATTTTTTATGTTCATTTTTTTCTACCTCCTCCTCCAAAGCCAATTTTGAACCTCCAACTCCTTTCTTTTCACATCCAGTTATTCCAAGTAATTTTAAGTTAAATGTTTCATTTCCATGATACCATCATAATCAGTTTACAGAAGAAAAATGACACATTCAGTTTAATTAATGTATAGGGACAAAGGCTTACCAGAATACGGTTCCGTAAATGATATATTTTTCAAGAATCTGCAAGTAAGGATTTACTGGCATGAACATTTTGGCAGCTTTAATGGCCCTGCTCGCTTCTGAAGTACTTGGTTGTCCTATTTTACGATGATCATACCATCCACGCTCTACAGATTCTCCCATCACTGGACGGTGAATGTTTTCCTTGTATCTGCAATTTATCAAATTAGCTCTCAATATGATGCAGTAAATTTTCAAACTTACAATATTTTGTTGGAAAACAAACTAGCTGGGCTTGCAATTGATATTATTTGAAGATACTGGTCCAAATGCATCTGGAGTCTCTGTATATTTACTTTCATTGAAATGAAGTTTTTAGTTTTCAATTGCCTATTGTGTATTATTTGGATTAGTCACACCCCCAGTTTTCGCTGCAGAATGTCCAGAAGTAATCATATACTTTGCCGGACTAATTTGCCACCGAATGACTTAGTTAAACTGCTACTGCCCAATAGGTTTAAATTCCTCGCATTTACTAGTCGTCTGTCATGTAATTTGTTTGTTCTGCATCTTGTTTCATAGCAACGCCAAAATTTAATTCTTCCAGATGCAATTTTACGTCTTTTGCTCCATAGGGAAGTTCAGATGACTTAGCTGAACTCTCAGTAGCGTCTTGGTCAAATATGTGGACTCTGAAACATGAGTTTTGTCCATATTTGATGAGTAAAGAGTACCAAGATCAATTTTTATACTTAAAATTTAGCCTTATGGCACAATGGTAGTGTAGCTATAATAATTTTAATTAGAAACATACAAGAGAAACCTTGTACATCAGAAGTTTATCTGTTTCAAACATTATGCTGTAAGTTCTCACAAACCTAAAATTGATCTGGCTACCACCATGTGAACAAATAAGGGAAAACAACTGGAAGAAGACGAATGTAAGAACATCAATTCAAGAACCAGAACACAAATATGAAAAAGTAGAAACCTCAAGAATTTAAGAACCAGGTAAGTCAATTCAAGAACCAGGAGCATAAATATGAAAAAGTAGTAACCTCAAGAAACAGGAACATCAATTCAAAAATAATAAAATCTAATTACAATGTGTATATAACCTAAAATTGATCTAGCCACAACCATGTGAACAAATAAGGAAAAACAATGGGAAGAAGACGAATGAAGGAACATCAATTCAAGAATTAAAGAACTGGGGACTTCAATCAAGAATTTAAGAATTGGGAACTTCAATTCAAGAATTCAAGAACTAGGAACATCTCCACGAACTTTTACATAAAAAGAAATTACCAATTGAACATTATCATTAAATGCAGAACATGAATTCAAGAATTCAATAACCAGGCAAGTCAATTCAAGAACCAGGAACATGAATTCAAGAATTCAATAACCAGGTAAATCAATTCAAGAATCAAGAACATAAATATGAAAAAGTAGTAACCTAAATCGAAAACAATTCAAGAAACCATGAACGTCAATTCAAAAATAATAAAATTTAATTACAATGTGCATATAACCTAAAATTGATCTTGCTACAATCATGTGAACAAATAAGGAAAAACAATGGGACGAAGACGAATGAAGGAACATCAATTCAAGAATTAAAGAACCGGTAACTTCAATTCAAAAATTCAAGAACCAGGAACATCTTACCGAACTTTAACATAAAAAGGGATTACAATTATCATTAAGTGAAAAACATTAATTCAAGAACTCAAGAACCAGGAATGACCAATTCAAGAAACAGGAAAAAGTAGTAACCTAAAAATCCTCAGACTTAATCTTTTTAGAGTAGTACAGTACTATGGCTCAATCTTTTTACCGTCGTCATGGCCGTATTCCGTCGTCATGGCCGGATTCCGGTTGCCAATCTTTTGTTCCTCTATTCAGAAAAAGAAGAGTGCCCTCACATATCAGTGTTACATCCTTTTATAGGTAACTCATCGGCTTTCTAAAATATCTTTTCCCATATATTTTCTTTTTAAAAAAAACACCGCTATATTAATTAGGTAAAACAATTTTGGCTAACTTTTTATTTATTTCAATTACTTATTAAAGGTTTAAACAATTGTGATTTATTATAGTCTTATATATTTATATTTTCTTTAAATAAGAAATTAAATATATGAGAAATTAAAGAATTAAAGATCCTTACTAAAAAATAATTAGAGAATCTTCGAAATAACCATTCTAAAAAAGTGAAATTGACCACTCTTTAATTCGAATATTGGATTAGTAAATATTGAATATATAAATCATATCATATATATATATATTAAAAGAGAATTTTAGGCCCGCCTACGTGGCCACATCACAAACCAAAATTCCCTTTTAATTTATTTATTTAAAAAACTAGTCTTTCCTTTTCATGAAAAGTTGTGAAATTTATGAAAAATTGCGACTTTAATGAAGAGTTGCGACTTTTATGAAAAATTGTAACTTTTATGAAAAATTGCGACTTTTACGAAAAGTTGCGACTTTTATGAAAGGTTGTGACCTTTCCGAAGGGTTGCAACTTTTCCAAATAGTTGTGACCTTTCCGATAAGGCACAATAATCATGTTTACACTATCCTTTGTTGTCTATAAATCGAGGGATTTTCTCTTCATTTTAAAACAACGAAAATTCTGAACCTCTTCTTCTTCACAATTAAATATTTGTGTATTTTGCTTATGTTGAGTGGCTCACTGACATCATTGTTTATGTTACAGATCCTGATATGTATTTTTACAGTCATTAATTTATGCTTATGTTATTAAGGATAAATGATAAGATATAATAATTTTCATTTTTCTTTACATTATTAATGTTTGTTACTACGCAATCTTGTATGTAAGATAATATAGCCGTTTAGTTTTAATGACTGATAGGTTATAAATATTATTTTATAAACTTCATGATATAAAATTTCCGCGCGAAGCACGGGTAATTTTACTAGTTAACCATAAACCAAAAAAAAATGATGAAACTAGTCAAAATTAACAATTTATTTATGAAAAATAGGCTATAGCTTTAAAATATTATAAAAAAAAGAACAATATATTATTTTTATAGCAAACATTTCCCCTCTCTCTTACCTCTCCAGTCTCTCTCTCTCTCTTATACATGGCTTTAATAAGTTAGCATTGTCCCAATTTTTTTACACTTTGTTACTCATTGTTTCATAATGTACAATATTATATTGTATTGTATTATAGATACAATGTTTGACTAGGTTGTATTGTTTATTGTTGTTTAATAAAATGTAATTGTTTGGGTTTGAATGTATCGTACTGTATTGTAATTTATAAATTTACTAAAATGTCCTTAATTAAATTTATCAGTAATTTCTTATAAAATAACAATACTATCATGCATAATGTTTTAGAATTAAATGAAAATAACATAAAAATTATATCATGAATTATAATCATATTACCAAATATTATCATTACGTTTGTATCAAAATTGATTTAATTATATTAAAGAAAAATCATATAAATCAATATGCCAAAAGAGACAAAAATATGAAGAAAAAAAGAAAGAAGAGAAGAATGTATGCTTTAAAAAAAAGAAGAAACAATGTAGTAATTGCTAGGATAGAAAAAAAAAATATGTATCGTTCCGCCCTTAATATTTTGCTATTATTCATAATTAAGCAAACTATAGCAACAGTTTAAGGTGTAATATTTGCTACTTTGAAAGTTTCCCTAAATAAAAAAAATATGCTAATTATGTTTATAGCAATTCAATAAACATGAGAAACAAACTTTAATACAGGTCCTAACCTCAATCATTTTACCATAATCACTTAATATAATTTAGCGAACAAACTAAATAGCAAAACAGTAAGATCAAACTAAAACTTTAGTTTTGGATTCCATACTTTTAGTATGGTATGATGAGTAAGATCAAATAAAAATTTCATCAATTCTTTTATAAGAACAATAATACTTACTAAAACAATCTTCATTTTTTCATCAACAAACAACAATAATGATAGTCTTGAAAATTCGTCAACAAACAATAATATTTATAGTCTTCAAAATTTGTCAACATACAATAATACTTAAGGCCATAAAAATTAAAATGCTATGGTAAATTTGATCCTTCACGTAGAACTTGAACTTGTAAGAACAAGATTTTACCAGATTTTCCTCTCACAAATTCACAGATACACCTGTCACTTTCCTCCACAAGGTTCCACCTACATATACTGCGCCATCCGCCCATCAGCCATATTCTGCCGTCTTTCCAATTATTGACTCTTGTCTCAAATTCTCTGCCAGCAGAGTCGCGAATAATCATACTTGGAGGGAGTTCAAGTTTGTAGTCTCTCACCACATCAATTGGAACATACTATAATCAAGAACAAAGACTTTGTTAAATTAGAATGCTGCATAAATTCATTCTTAAGATCAATATATAATTATAGGCTTTAGTTACCAGTTGATTTCTCCTTTTTGGTAGTATCTTTGCTACAAAGTAAGGATTTTTTGGCTGAGTTGCGCGTCCACTTTTGAATATATCTGCACCATATCGGTCAAGCGTATTCCTGACCTTGCAAGTAATGGCTTTTCGGCGTCCAGCTAAATCAAAAAAGTTAGGATAAGATTCACAAATAGAAATCTCATGAATACTCACAAATACTCCATTCGTTTCATTTGACGTGGTGATACTTTATTGAACATGAACTTTATGAAGGAAAAAAAAAAGACTTTCGGCATTATACCAAAAGTGTTACAAAATGACATTTGAATATATTATTCTCCGATAGTCAATAAAAACTAACAAAATGTGCCCCTAGGCTAGTTTTGTCAATGAACCAAACAACCAAATCTATATTAAATCCTTTAGAACTTACCGTCTCAAACTTTTCATGACAATTATAAGACAATAAAATCATGTCCAAATATACAAATACGTCATTTTTGCAGCAATATACTAACAATAAAAAAATTGAATTACATATAAAATGAATAAGATGAGTAGAACAAAATATTTAATAATTGTATGTACCTTTTGAACTTGACGTCTTTTTCTTGAATGTGTTAGTTGTTCCATTCTCTTCTTCATCTTCTTCCTCCTCAGTTTCATCCTCCTCCACTTCCTCCTCAGTTTCATCATTTTTGCCCTCCTCCACTTCCTCCTCAATTTCCTTCTCTGCCCCCTCCTCATCATCATCTTCCATCTCTTCTTTTTCCACCTCTACTTTATCGTTATCTTCTTCTTCTATCATGTAGTTATCAGTATTATCATCATCAAATGAACTATCATTATTATCTCTAGTCCTATTCTTTTCTTTTAGCTCTGCACTCTTTCGATGTTCAACACTCACTTTCTCTTTCTTTTCACATTTAGCTCCTTCTTTTACACATCCAGTTATTCCAAGTAATTTGAAGTCAAATGTTCCATTTCCATCATAATCAAATATTATAAAGTCTCCAAACTCTAGAGTGTTGTCCTCAATAAATTTCTCCCATCCATATTGAAAATACAAATCTCTTCCTATTCTGGTCACTCCCATAGGCCATATATTATTAAATCGATCCCTAAGAAAAACATTCCTAGGTAACTTTCCATTCTTGTAGTTTGTATGACCTGTGGGAATTTTCTGTGAAGAAAATTATTTTTGAACAAAAGGTAAAAAGAACATTAATTTCTTTAAATCGACTGACTATATCGTAAAAATAATTAATATCGGAAGAAAAAATATTTTAAATAAATTCAAAGTTTGGACTTTTGATGTTGGAAATATTCAAGAATGTGGGTATTTGGGAAACTACAAAATAGAATCTAAGGCATTCTCTTAGTTTTATTGCAAAGTTACTACTATCAACACACATAATATGATCATTTGGAAATGATATATACAATTTTATGACATCAATTGATTGAATAATTAATTATACATAATGCCAGTATAAAATTAGAAAATTCAACATATATAAGTACTAATATAATAATTACTTGCATCACACAAAAACATCTCTTATCTTTTAAATTTTCTTCCCCTTATTCATAGCCCAATCTTCAAAAAGTGTTTCTTAAAAAAAGATTAAAAAAGTGAGTCAAGCAAAAATCATAAATCAAATACTTATAAAAGACCACATAGAAAATGAATTAATGAAAGGGAAAGTTAGCTTTAAACAATTGTAAAAGATCATAATTTCTAAGTTTTGCAGATCTAAATTTCACCAAGGCCTTCACATTTACATATCTGCTTCCCACATTTCCAAAAGAAGAAGAAAAAAAATCAAGAAATAAAATCTCAAAAATCTAATACTACGAGGAGAAAGTGTACTTACCATTCGTTTTGCACTGGTTTCAGGATTGAAAACCTTGAAGAAACCCTTTTCCATATTCATTTTTATCGTCAAACTATTAGAGAATGGAAGAATTTGCCGCACAACTTAAACCCTATAAGCGGCTTTAATGTTGAAGGAGTGTCATTACTCATAAGTAGAGCCGTCAATATGGGTTAGGCCCATTGGGCCGGCCGGACCTAACTCGTGATTTGATAGGGCTGGGCTACAATATTTTTAGCCCATTTAAGAAAAGGGCTTTTTAATCCAGCCTGAATAAGCTTGCTGATTTGTGGGGGCTTCAGAAATATGGATAGGACCGGCCCGTGGGCCAAATAAAAATTAATTAAAAAATAAAAATAAAATAGGGTATTAAAAATAATAAGTCTAAACTCAAAATCTGTTTAAAGTTTGAAATATTACAATTTAATTACAAATTATGTTTATAAAATATGTACTACATAAAATAAAAATTCCCTAAATTTTTTAGGGAATCACTACATAGGCCATAGCCTATAGAATATTGTCATAGTTTTTGTGTTTTATTATGATCATTGGAAAACAATTAGGTTAATATTTCTATTTAGTTATTTATACTTTTACTTGAAATCTAACTTAATAATTATTATAAAATAATTTTATTTGTGTATTTGATTAACAAGTAGTAACACTAACACCATGTAATATTGTCTTGTCGATATTTATGATAATATTAAAAAGGGAAAATTGTATATAATAGCAAACTATTAATTCAAATTAAATGCTATAAATATAGTTTGATTTAATTGTACCTCATAGCAAACTGTTGCTATTTCACCTCTCTCCTGGTGAATCTCGCTCGCCACTCTCGTTCTCTCCCTCGCCTCTCTCGTTTTTTATACAAACGCAAGTGTATAAAGTGTGTTTGTGTTTGTATAAAGTACATATATTTTCGTTCCCCTCTCTCCCCTCTCCTAGATCTCGCTCGCCACTCTCTCAAATCTCGCTCTCTCACTCGCCTCTCTCACTTTATACAAAAAACGCAAATTGTATAAAGTACGTTTGTGTTTGTATAAAGCGAGAGAAAATTGAATAGATACATATATTTTCATTCCCCTCTCTCCCCTCTCCCAGATCTCGCTCTCTCACTCGCCTCTCTCACTTTATACAAAAACGCAAATGTATAAAATGCGTGAAAATTGTATATATACATATATTTTCGTTCCCCTCTCCCAGATCTCTCTCGCCACTCTCCCAGATCTCGCTCGCTCACTCGCCTCTCTCACTTTATACAATTGATCTTTTTGTATATGTATATCAAAACAGATTATACAACTGCTTTCTTTTGTATATGTATAGCGAAATATACATATTTATGTTTGATATGAAGCGTAATTATGCAAACTTTGTTATAGCATACAACTATGAATTTTGTGTTTGCTATATGTGAAAGTTGCTCTATTAAAAAATATACTTTTAAGAAAAGAGGGTTGACCCGGCAAAACCCGTAGCCCACGTACTTATGGGTTGGGCCGACCATTTTCTGGTCTACACAAAAAATGGGCTAGTCCAACCTGATCCATCAAATTTCAAAGCCTGTATGAATTAGCCCGAATGGGATGTGTCAACCTGTATTGACAACTCTACACATAAGCATATATATATAAGAGAAGGAAAGATTATAAGAATCTTAAGATGTTCTCATAGTGCATTGCAGTTTTTGGCGTTCTGATATTTTTAAGTACTCGAAAATATCAATTTCAATATTTTGCTATTTTAATTTATTTTTCATAGTATAATATAAAAATTGATTTCTGACGAAAAAGGTATATTTGCACATTCTCCCTTATTTTATTTTTTTGTTGCAAGCATAAAAAAAAGTCTTTAGGCTCCTTGCAAAATTTCACATGACTTAAGGTGAACTCTCTTTTGCTCCATACAAAAGTTCACACTTTCAACACAACTTTTACCATCACCAATTTTATCGTTTTCTGTCACGTTTACAAATAGCCTACAGAATGATGAAGCCAAAATTCACACTAAAAATCATTTTACCAATCTTCTTCACACCAGAAACACCTTACCAACCTTGTTCACACAAAAAATATTTCAGCAGTCTTCTTCACACCAGAAATCATCAACATGAACATATATTTCATGTGAATCTACCATTGATGTGGCTATAACCATGTGAACATATAAAGGAACAACAACTAGAAAAAAACAAATGAAGGAAAACAAGGTTGTTCATGTTAAGCAGCTACAGAGTTCAGATTCCAACATAATGACATCAAATTGTAGCAGTTCAAAACTAAGATTTATCATCTTTGTGCAGCAAGTTTCAACAGAGATTCCGAAGGATCGTTGAAAACAGAAACCTTTACTTCATTTGCATTGACAAGCTGAAAAGCACAGACCTGTCCTTCCTTAAGCTTGTTATCACTCACAAACTGTTTCCATCCTCCACAGAAAGCATGATATCCTTTTTGTGTTATACAATTCACTTTCCACCCTTTTCCTTCTGAATTACGGAGGACTGCTGTTGTCTTATTTTCTGATGTCGAAAGTTGTTCACAGAAGTATCTTGGAACATACTGCATTAGAAGTATTAATTATTTGGTTTACATAAATTTTACACATTTCATATCTTAAACTTGTTTTCAAGAAAACACTTACCAAGAAACAAGACTTTTTCACATTGTAGCCTTTCAAACATTTCACAAATTGAGGAATATTTGGAGTGAGAAGGTCCTCTTCTTTCTCAAGTGCAGCTCTTTTTCTTGGAGTTTCATGTTCTAAGGAAACACAACATAGTATATTACATGTTAAAATACGTCTTCTGCAAGGGAAAAATCGGGTGCTGAAAGTCTAAATTTGATCACTGTTACTCCATTTTATGCTAACTTTCAACAACAGCTAGAAGAATTGGAAATGTATGATTAAATCATCATACCTGTGTCATTTTCACCGTTAGCACAAGTCTGTTTAGGGAATTTTTCTGGCCTTTTACGCTTGCTGCCTCCATCTATTGAAGCTTGTTTATTTTTAACCATGTTTGTTGACTTCATTTGTCTCTCCAGTCCATTCTTGCTGAAAATTCTTATTGTGAATTGCAGAGCGCCATCGTACCTAAACACGAGATATTCCCCATTTTCTAGTTGATTATTTTTCTGAAATTTCTTCCAACCCTTGTGTATAAGCAAACCATCTTCATCACACTGTAGTTTCACATTCCAAGTGCCTCCAGAAAGACACTTAAGGGTGGCTTTATCAGGTGATTCTTCTGATATATGCCTAAGAAAATGGGCTGGGATTCTCTACAAATTAAACATCAACTACTCCATCAGAAAGAAGAAAAACATCTAGTATGTTCAAATTAAAGCAGAAAATGTAAGATTGCTTCTAAAATGATGAACAGAAGCAGAGAATTACCAGTTCATTAGTGATTGAGGGACAAAAAATCTTGTAGAAAATTGCTCTTTTGTCTATCTTCAATAAGGAGTTTTCCATCATATCAATTGCAGTTTGTACAATTCTACTGATTTGGGCAGATGGAGTGTATTTATGAGTTATTTCCATTTGTTATAGGGCTTTTCCGTTTACTAGTGCAATAATGTCCTCTTCAAAACATTCAAAATCCAGAGTTGCCTTATTAAGTTGCCACATAGCAATGAAGAATGAAGATAAGATGCAAAATTAATTACCAAGATGAGTATGAAGATGGAGAATTTTCCCAAAAGAAGATTTAAGGAAAAGAAGTTGTACAAGAAGTTGATAGTGCCTTATTTTTTTGAAACAAAATTTGGAAGGTCGGACAGGACCACATAGAATAAAAAGGAAAACAGCTAAAAATAGTGTCTGCAATACATGAAAAGATTGAAGAATTAGTGAACTATACAAAGTAACTTTTTTAATGCAAGACATATTGAGTCATTATACTATTGGGTTTAACGTTTGGACGTAACAGATCAATTTCATTATAATAGGCCTTTAACCATTTACCAATCCATGCTTCATAATAACAGTGACATCTTTTTTGTTTATTAAGTGACATGTAAAAGTATTTTATATTATATAGTCCACACATAAAAGTTTTTACACTTAAAAACTCAATGATAAAAGTCACTTCAAAATTAATTGCAAGTGTACATATCTACACTGAGCATGGCTTGATAGTCTTTCATGTTTTTAATCAACAGTACATGCATTAGGAAAAAAAAACTTCACGAACTCCCAATGACAACACCACCACACCTAGTGTAATCTCCCAAGTGAGGTCCAGAGAGGATAAAGTGTACGCAAGCCTAGGGAGGTGGAATGAACTCTCAATGGCAAGAGCAAAATTGGATTCATCATAAAAGTGCATTTAATCATCAGTCTGACGAGTTATATCATGAAGTGGTAGTTTCAAATGAATATACAAGACTGCACACCAAAACTGATAACTATACAAATTTTAATGCACACTTTGTACAATGAGAAGCAAAAGTAGACCATTTGCTGCTACCTTGGCATTCCATAAAGAATTTCCAGCACCTCAAGACCCTAGACGAAAAAATAAATGAAGACGACAAAATTAAGTCACTAAGTTTCCATCCCCCCAGGCCTAAGATTCGTTCTCCTTCCGAGCTTTTCATGAGAATTTTGGATCTATAGGCAGAGTCGAGTTAAAAGAGCTCATTGATGTAGTTACTGAGAAAAAAGAGAGGCAGCCTATACAGGTTGAGTGTGTGCCTTCTCATGGATATCCTTCACAAGATCCATCAGTTCAGGGAACATTGATATAAGTACAAGTTCGAGGACACCATATGTAAGCTGCTTTAAACAGATAGTAGACTGCACATTATAAGACAATTGTTGTTGTTAGTTTAGCGGAAAACATGAAATAGGAAACCAATGTTCTCACGGAGAGGTCTTACCTGAAGGAAATAATACAAATCCCTAGCACAACGTCTGTACTGCTTGTGCCCAATTAAGCTGACCAAAGTGGCAGGAGCACCATCTAAGAATTTAAAGAGGAACTAGTTAATAATTTCATCTCTGGCCCTCTCAAGGCTGGGTTGCTATAAACCCCAACTGTATCTAAGAATTTAAAGAGGAACTAGTTAATTTCATTCCTGGCCCTCTCAAGGCGGAATTGCTATAAACCCCAACTGTATGTGCAGTTCATCCCCCCCCCCTCCAAAACCCTGAATAATAGATGTAGAGTGGCAGGGCAACAGAAAGCACAGGGTCAAATTGGTTTTGGTGAAATCGAACAGACAACCCAACCTAAATAAACATGAACTACCCCCAGTGGAAGCATGGAAATTGTGTGAGAATCAATAGTGTAAGACATCTACTCCCCAGAAAATAATAGCTTCTAGACAACTGTTACATGCCACGAAAACTGGCTAGCTGAAGGAAAAGTAGTACAGTTTGAAAACAATTCAAAAAGAAGCAATAATGGGATATGAATAAATTCATGACTTTTGCAGTCAATTACATAAATGAACAATAGAAAAATCATGGAAAAATCTTATTTTAAGGAACTTCCATTTCATAAAATAGGTAAGAAGTAATGTTGGCAATCAAGCACAATCGAGAGCCACACTTACCATAGAGCATCTTTTTCACATCACTTGCCCTACGAGTAGCCTCAAGTTGCTCCTCAAAAGATCCTGCCTTAGAGACCTTACTTCCTCCAGATTGTTTCGTGCTATGAACAGATCCTTGATTTGGTTTGTTGCTGGTTTCAACAATATTTCTTAATTTTATGAAGAAAGTGCCATTGGGCCAGAGAACCTAGGAATGCAATCAGCAACAGAACCAAAAAGTCACTTCCAAATAATCCTTCTGCATAATTTCCTCATTTTTTAATCTCAAAGTAGCGCAATGATGACACATAAGAAAGTCGGGAGACACCCCACAACCAAAGAAATCAAGATGATATTAGTCAAGTTCCATACGTTATGAGTATGGCATGCTCCATTATATGAGTTGACTAAACCATATTATAAAGCTTATTTCTCAAACAAAGAAAAAAGAAATTACCTTCTATGAAGCCATCGACGAATATAAAAGTGCATACAAATTTAACATTTTATGTTGCAGCACATATTAATATTCTTTCCCCTGACACTAATCTCCAAATGCTGATGTCTTTCTATCTATTTTCACATATGTCACATCAAGTTCAAAATAAATATATATGTAAGAAATACTATCTACACAAGTGCAGCAATTGTAAATGGCAGACTTTGAAATCTAATAAGCAACGGAATTAGCTGAAGTGTCATACTAAATGAACAATATTAAAATCATTAGATTTATTACATCAATGATCAAAGATCGAATCATAAACATAGATGAATTGGCACATGCATTTATTTTATGAAGAACTCTCAAGGAGGAAATCTAGTGTTGTAAAAAAGATTAGAGGCATAACATGTCAAAAATCCTAAAAAAGGAACCTGAACTAAAGTTTGCTAAGTAGGGACTCTGCACCATTATCTTTTTTTGTAATTCCAAACTATTTCTCTTCAGCAATCAAGAGTTATTTTCCATTTGTCATTTAGTTAATGCAATCTGTAAATACTGTAACTCCAGAAGTAGAAGCCAAGAAAAAATTGCTTCAAAGGTAAGCAAGTAAGATGGAAAAGTTACAATCAGAAAACTAAATGCTTACATCTTGAATCCATTTAATTCCGAGAGCAATAACATCATCTCTCCGTAGCCAATGAATTTGCCTCAACAGCCAATCATCAATAGCATCCTCCATCATTAACTGCATAATTTCCTTTGATATCCAAAATACCTGTCTTCTGCGCAAACAACAATGACTTAGTTAGATGCTCGTTAATGATGCCATGTCATGGGAATAATACGCATACAAGATACCTTCCGTGCAGGGTTTTGCTAACCTACTGCATAGGTGTGTTATAGGTTATACCCTCCCCATTTTCTAATTTCCTTAAATGTCCTTGCCATCTCATTAATATTAGTCTTTTGGGTTTCTTTTTTTGGTCTTTCACCATAAATCCCCCAATTCACCTAAATGTCCATACTTTTTATTTTCCAGATCAGTAGCTTCATTCCTTTCTCTTCGTTCTTTGGTATTTCTCAAACAATCAAAAGAAAGGAGTTTGTCAATAATTTGGAATTTCTGAGCACAGAGTAAATCATGAACAATGAGCAATCAGGATCCACCAAGATAGAGATTTTATTCAATTTAATACTTCTTTTGTACATTCATTGAATTCAGCTCACTGGAAACTATAAACCTTGAGTCCATCAATCAGAAGGCAAGAACAAACAGAAAGGCAAAAAAGCAAATCTACAGATGGAAATTCTTAATCTGATCGCTGGGCATAAACACCCATCGAGAAAGGCAAAAAGTATATTTACCCATAATCTGATCAACAAAATGGAAGCACATTAATTCTTACCTCCATTAATGGCACTGTAAATGTTGGAAGAAGACAAAAGATACAAAAGGAAAATAACTTGAAAATTTAGAGAAGAACCATGGCTACTCTTTCCCCTTTTCCCACTAGTGAACGAAGTTTGGGTGATGTAGGGGAGGGAAGAAAAAATTGGGAATTGTGGATCTATGGTGAAAGTCCCAAAAAGGACCAATCTTTGATGAGGTGGCGAGGACATTTAGATATTGTTACAATTTTGTTGAAACTATGTCTAAATTTGTGAAATCCTGGATCATCTCCCTCTCTCCTTCATGTATTCCCATGCGAAGAATGTCCATACTTTAATAGTTCAGTTTTTCAGGATGGCAAGTTTGTAGTTTTGGCATAATTTCATAACAAATATTATATCGACCCTTCTAAATCATTTTTAGGAACCAAATTAAGCATGAAGATGTTAAACATGGATGATGAAACTGATTCAATAATGAAACTATCAAAGAGAAGTTAAATGTAGGAAAACAACTCTAAATTTGATACCAGGAGGGGATGGGATGGGAAGTAGAGAAGTACAAAACATGTTGTTGTCACCTTAGCCAGCCTCTTCTGTTCAGTTGAAAAATCTTGTCCACCAAATTTAAGATAGGTACACTTAAGTTGGGCGGCGTCCACTGAAAGGAAAAACCCCAAATGAGAATAAGCAAAACAGAGCACGTGATATTAAGGGGGGAAAAAAGCAGTCCAGCACAAAATCAAGCACCAGTAGCCAACTGGAGGGAGAAATTATCAGGGTGGCAATGGGGCCAGGATGCGAGGGTTTAAATCGATGCAGGGCAGGGAGGGTTGAACCAGTTTTTTAAAAAACTTGGTGGGGTGGAGTGGGGCAGGTTGCAGACTTGCAGGCGAAATTTCTGCTTCCAAACACCTTCATTTTAGCTTTGTTTCTCTAAGAAAATCCACTTCACTGCTATCTCTAATGTGCAACTATTTCTTTTTCACTTTCTATTTCAAAATCATTTTTGATTTTCTTTTTTCATTTATTGAAGAATCATTGAGTTGCTACAGATAAAAATACCGATTCATTACAAGCAATATGTTACTTCTAAAGATAGTTTCTTTCTTTATCTTTAAAATAGAATTATTTGAC